TCCAACACAAATCGATTGATTAGCTTAATTGTTTTTACAAATTTAAGTGGATTAAACATAAAACAGCTAGGTTGTTTCCCAAAAAACGTACCAATTGTGTTGTTTCAACTCATTTTAAATAAGTAGTTGGAACAAGCAATGTCATTTTTTGAGTGTGTACCAACAGTGTGTAGATGATTTATTTTTATTTATTTATTTACTTACATAATTATGTTGTTTTTTATTCCATAACAGATTTTTATTGAAAACTACATTAACACTACAGTTTAATTAGAGTATTATTATTATTATCAGTATTATTATTATTATTATTAGGGATGTCTTGATCAGGTCTGATCAAGTCTGAGTCATTTGATTTTGAGTATCTAATGATACGGAATCTCAATCCGATACTTCTATAAAACATTTAAAAAAGTGCAAAGAAACAGATCCGGGATGTTCCTTTTTTTTTTTTTTTAATTCACTTCATTTTTAATTCACCTCATTTTAACATTCAACAACTCTGTTGACAAACAAAGCACTTCTGTGAGGCAGCTTGAACAATCAAATAATAAATAACATCAATTCTTCACCTCTTGCAATCCCAAGTTTACATCTCTCACAGTTTGCTATGGCAATGTTGTCATCATCAACTTATAATTCCAGTAATACCTCCAGAATGCAGATGTTGTTAGATCAGATGTTGTTGTTGCGGAGTGAAGTTAACGAAAATTATTTATATTATTTATTAAGTTTCCCATTAATTACATTTTATTAACGTCTACCCCCACTCCAATTCTTAACCCAACCACCACAGTAACATAAAATATTAATTATTGTTATACAGTGTCACAAAAATGATGCTATATTGATGTGTGTTTTCACAGCTGTATTCTATCTAGACTTTTACCACATACTCACGCTTTCTGCTTCAAGCTGCTTCCGTGTTCTAATTTGCCGGCATTTAACCAATAGCATCTCTCCAACAAAGTGATGTCATTACTGATTCTGTGTGAAGTCAAGAAAGAGGTCTAACTCTGTGCCACAGCATAACTATAGATGTGTTAAAAAATAATCAGATTGTATATATTCGAGTCCAGATCGGGAAGTAACGTTTGATTCCAATTGAGTCTGAAACCGTGTGATCAGGCCCAATTTCCGATCAAATGACCGGATCTGGACATCCCTAATTATTATAATTAATTCATTCATTTTCCTTGGCTTAGTCCTTTTATTTTTCAGGGGTCGCCACACCAGCATGAACCTCTATTATTATTAGTAGTAGTAGTAGTAGTAGTATTAGTAGTAGTATTAGTATTATTATTATTATTATTATTATTATTATTATTGTGTGTGTGTGTGTGTGTGTATATATATATTTTATTATTGTTATTATTATCATTATCATTATTATTATTATTGTTTTATTATTATTACTATTATTATATGATTATTATTATTTTATTTTTTATTATCATTATTATTTTATTTTTTATTATTATTGTTAATATTTTTATCATCATTATTTTTATTATTATTTTATTTTTTATCATTATTATTATTATTATTGTGTGTATGTGTGTGTGTGTATATATATATATATATATATATATATATATATATATATATATATATATATATATATATTATTGTTATTATCATTATTATGAAATTTTTTATAATTATTGTTATTTTATTATCATTATTATTATTTTATTTTTTATCATTATCATTATTATTATTATTATTATTATTATTATTATTATTAGATGATCATTTCAGCATAGTTTAGGAACTTATAAGCCAAACAGCTGAGAATATTAGCCGAGTTAATACCCTGTATAACCCCTGTTTCCCGTCCTGAAGTGAGTCTTTCCATCTCCAGCCTCCTCCCCTCTGCGCCTCAGCATCTGCAATGCAGCACTGAACTGAGCACAGCTACTGCCAATAGAGAATAATTCAACAGTCTTTCTCTCTCTCCTCCTGTTCACCATCTGCCAAAGCCACTGCAGATCAGCCAGAATAGCCACTTCTTATGTCAGCAGTCACGTTTACTTCTTATTGGTCGTTGGCTTTTTGGTCATATTTTCTCATTGTGTGTTTAGTTGTGTGTGTGTGTGTGTGTGTGATGCGGCGGTGCTGATTCAGCTGTTTGTGACGAAGGTTGCGTGGATGTTGTCTGAATGTTGCTATAGCATAAGTCACCTGCAGTGATACTGCAGTAATGGACTGAAACTGAAAGAGTGTTTATGTGTCTCAGGAAGATGTGTGTGTGTACAGTCGGGTGACGTAATGTAATGGTTTTCTGCACAGGAAAAAAAAAGAGATAGTACATGAGTAGAGTACTATCAGCCCAAACTGTAGGGTCATGTTACAGAAGACATGCTGTTTATAGCCGAGATTCACTCGCGCTTTGCATTTTAATGCGGAAGTATAGAATTTCATGTTTTCTTTTGTGAAGTATTGCAGGATAGAAGTGTCTTTTATTTTTAAATTAAATACAGTTGAAGTCAGAATTATTAGCCCCCTTTTGATTTTTTTTTCTTTTTTAAATATTTCCCAAATGATGTTTAACAGAGCAAGGAAATTTTCACAGTATGTCTGATAATATTTTTTTTCATAGACAAAGTCTTATTTGTTTTATTTTGGCTAGAATAAAAGCAGTTATGAATTTTTTAAAAACCATTTTTGGGATAAAATTATTAGCCTCTTTAAGCTAATTTTTTTTTCAATAATCTACAGAACAAACCATCGTTATACAATGACTTCACTAATTACCCTAACCTGCCTAGTTCACCTCATTAACCTAGTTAAGCCTTTAAATGTCACTTTAAGCTGTATAGAAGTGTCTTGAAAAATATCATTATTTACAGTCATCATGGCAAAGATAAAATAAATCAGTTATTAGAAATAAGGTTTTGAAACTATTATGCTAAGAAATGTGCTGAAACAATCTACCCTCCATTAAACAGAAATTGGGGAAAAAATAAACAGGGGCGCTAATAATTCAGGAGGGCTAATATTTCTGACTTCAACTGTACATGTAATTTTATGATTACAGTTTGAATAGCCTACATAAGACTATGTAGAATGCTCTACAGTCTGTTTTTATGTATGCGTTTGTTCCGGAATGACTGAAAATGGAGATTATATGAAATTTAATTATAGCACATACATTTCTCACATTTCAATGCATGCTTATAAGTATGCACTTATTAACTTAGTAATGTGTTCTTTTATTTTATTTATATATTGAATGATTAACATAGCTACTATTTATATCGCATTGTTTACTTATTAATTCACTTGTTTTTGTTTCACTTATGTGTATTTACTTAATTATTCATAATTGAATTCAATAAAATATTTATTTATTTATTTATTTATTTATTTATTTATTTTTATTGTTTACTCATCTATAAATAATGTTTTTATCTATTTATTTACTCATTTATAATGTGTTTATTGACATACATAAATTTATTTATTTATTTACTCACCTAAAAAATGTTTATCTATTTATTTATTGTTTACTCATTTCTAATAATGTGTTTAATTACATAAACTTATTTATTTATTCACTCAACTATAAATAATGTGTTTATTTGTTTATTTATGTTTACCCATTTATAAATAATGTATTTAATTACATAACTGTATTTATTTATTTAATTATTTATTTACTCATTGATAATGTGTTTATTTATTTCATTTATTGTTACTCATTTATAAATAATAATTACATAACATAACATGAGTAAATAATTACTCATTACATAACTTTATTTATTTACTGATTGATAATTAATGTGTTTATTTATTTTTTATTGTTTACCTATTTATAAATAATGTGTTTAAATACATAACTGAATTTAATTATTTACTGATTGATAATTAATGTGTTTATTATTTTATTTATTGTTTACTCATTTATAAGTTGTTAATTACATAACTGTATTTATTTATTTACTGATTGATAATAAATGTGTTTATTTATTTTATTTATTGTTTACTCATTTATAAATAGTTTAAATACATAACTGTATTTATTTATTTACTGATTTGTAATTATTGTGTTTATTTATTTATTTGTTTACTCATTTATAATTAATGTGTTTAATTACATAACTGTATGTAGTCATTTGTTTACTCATTTATAATTAATGTGTTTATTTATTTACTTATTGTTTACTCATTTATAAATAGTGTTTAATTACTATGTATTTATTTATTTGTTTACTCATCTTTAAATAATGTTTTTATAATTTTTTATTAGTTACTCATTTATAAAGTGTATTTAATGAAATAAATGTTTTTATTTATTTATTTACAAATTTAAAATCAATGTTTATTTATTTATTTACTTATTTGTAAATAGTGTTTGTTTATTTATTTGTTATTTTTTACTCATTTATAATAATGTGTTTAATTACATTCATTATTTATTTAATTTATTTATTTACTCGTCTAATAATGTTCATTTATTTATGTATTTACTCATTTATAATTTGTTTAATTACATGTATTTATTTATAGTTTACTCGTTTATAAATAATGTATTTAACTATATGTATTTATTTATTATTTACTAATTTATAAATGATGTTTATTTATTTATTTATAGTTTACTCATTTATAAATAATATGTTTAATTACATATATTTGTTTATTTATGTATTGTTTGTTTGTCACACTGGCCTAAGGGAATCCAAATAAACAAATAAATACATATTTTTAATAATAATAATAAAAATACAATTTAAATTAACATTAATGAAGTTTTCTGTTATATTTAGTGATATAAAAGTGACAGGTGATTTGGAAACTTGAGACCTGCAATGATGTGATATTAATAAATGAACGAATTTTTTTATAAGTAATTCATTTATATTTAATACATTTGATAAAATAAATTAGATGTTTAAGGATAAATATTGCCAATAATGCCCCAAGGATTTACACACTTGTAAACTGTGATAATAGTTATGAATGATATAAATTAATCTTTTCCATTCTTCTAGATGGGAAGAGGAATATACGATGCGGGTGGATCTACAGGAAAAAGTAGCAGAGCTTGAAGAGGTGAAACCAAATCAATTTAATACTTAAATCCATCTCCGATTTAAATTGCTTTTCGACCTTTTCCCCCTTCCCACACCGACTGCATCTGCAGACACTGATTTTATGTGTATACGTGTATGTATGTGTGTGTGTGTGTGTGTGTGTGTGTGTGTGTGTGCGTGCGTGTGTGTATCTCTCAGGACCTGCAGGAGAGCGAGGTGTGTCAGGATGAACTGGCTCTGAGGGTTAAGCAGCTTAAAGCAGATCTGGTTTTGTTCAAAGGCCTCATGAGCAATGTGAGTTCATTAAAATATTCCTGTGACTAGATCTTAAAAAATACCTCAGTAAATTATTCAGTCAATATGTCGTTGTTTTTTTGAAGCACAAATAATGCTGAGTCCAACGTTGTCCCACAAATGTCAGCAGATTGATTGATGTCTGTCTTTCATGCCTGTAGAATCACTCGGATTTGGACAGTAAGATCCAGGAGAAGGCCATGAAAGTGGACATGGACATCTGTCGCAGGATTGACATCACAGCTCGTCTCTGTGATGTCGCCCAACAGAGAAACTGCGAAGATATGATTCAGATCTTCCAGGTTTGTTTGTCTTTCATCAGATTACAATTTTAGTAACAAAATATAGATTGTTTCTGCGTGTTTATTAAATATTCTTGATTCCCTGCCTTAAGCAAATGGTTTAAAAGTAACATGAATGCTACTTTTTAAAATAAAAATCAGAATTAATAGCCTTCCTGTTAAATTTGAATTCTTTATATATATATATATATATATATATATATATATATATATATATATATATATATATATATATATATATAGTTCTGTTTTATCTGAGAGATTTTTTAAACACATTTCTAAACATAATAGTTTGCTCTTTGGACAATCAAAAAATATTGCTTAAGGAGGCTAATAATATTGACCTAGAAATGATTTTTAAAGATTAAAAACTACTTTTATTCTAGCTAAAATAAAACAAATAGAAAAAATTCTTTTTTTCCAGAAGAAAAAATATTGTAAATACTTGCTCCTGTAAATATCAATTAAATGATATCACGTAAATCATTCACACAACGGCTAAATTTATTATCAATACTGTATTTATAAATATAAAACATAAACTTGAAAAATCCTAATCAAACACACATTAAAAAAGTATTATTATAATTTACTGTAACAATTTTTTTCTGATGACAGAGTAGCATTATTAGTTAACGAAAAATAAAATAAAAGTCATTTTCTTGTCGAAATAAACAAAAGTTTACAGATTGTTTTTAGCTAGTTCATTCATTTATTCATTTTCTTATCAGCTTAGTCCCTTTATTAATCCGGGGTCGCCACAGCGGAATGAACCGCCAACTTATCCAGCAAGTTTTTACGCAGAGGATGCCCTTCCAGCCGCTACCCATCTCTGGGAAACTTCCACACACTCATACACTAACTCCACACAGAAACGCCAAGTGAACCGAGGTTCGAACCAGGGACCTTCTTGCTGTGAGGCGACAGCACTACCTACTGCGCCACTGCCTCGCCTCAGCTAGTTCAATGTTTCTTATTTTAATCTAGTTTAATAAGAACAAAAACAATTAAGCAAAATTAGTTTAATTAAAAATAAAAAAATAAAACAAACACAGGATAAATATAACTGTTTTGGGGAAAAACTAATAACAATGACAAAATATGCATTTAACAGTTTTGAAAATAAAAGAAATAATAACTAGTAATTACATTTTATGTCCAGAACTGTAAACTAAGGGCCTACTCACACTATGCCATCCGTACCGTGCCCAGGCCCGTTTCCCGGATCATTTAAGAAGTGTGAGTGCGCTGAATCGGGCTCAAGCACGGTTCACTTGGCCGGCCCTGGCCCGGTTGGAAGAGGTGTGCCTGAGCGCGGTACACTTGGGCTTTGGCGCGGTACGCTTGTGTGTGAGCGCGAAACGCGCCAAAGCCCGAAACCGAAAGCGAGACGTGACTTTTAAGGGACTGTTTAATATGGATTTATTAATCATTCTTGCTGTTCAGTGATCACAAACTGCCGTAGTTTATTAAAGACGCAAACTCCTCACAGCACGCCAGCTGCACGCCTTCAGCAGACCTCCTCATTCCTGCAGCACGAGAGCTTTGATTGTTTATGAGCGCCAAAAGTGGCGGATCTGTTCGGTAAAATATCTGACTGCGTATCCCCGCATCCCTAAGGACTGTTTGGCAAAATATTTGACTGCATGTCACTGCATATCAAACGACTGAAAGGATATAACTAGAGAAATCTGCACCGTGCTGCTGAGTGAGAGCGTATGGCAAGCCGTTTTAACATTTAAACCTTGTTCTGACTATCCATAAATATATTTAGAGATATAATTATATATTTTGACAAGTCATTATTATAATTCAACTTGTCAGAATGACAATTAGAGATATCTGCAATTACAATTGTACTAGTACGAAATCAGATTGGAGATATCTGCAAATATATTGTGACTAGTCATATTCCTCCATTGACTTCCATTGAAAAATATTTGCAGATATCTCTAAATGAGTTTTGACTCGTAAAAAATCCAATTCAAGATATCTACAACTGTAATTCGACTATTAGTAAATTAATTAGAGATATCTTCAAATATATTTGTAAATATCTCTAAATATTACGAATTAAAGACATCTCCAAATGTATGACTAGTAAAAACTCAGTTAGAGATATCTCCAATTACAATTGTGACTAGTCAAAACTCATTTAGAGATATCTGCAAATATTTTTCAATGGAAGTCAATGGAGGAATATGACTAGTCATAATATATTTGCAGATATCTCCAATCTGATTTCGTACTAGTACAATTGCAATTGCAGATATCTCTAATTGTTATTCTGACTAGTCGAATTATAATTATGACTAGTCAAAATATAATTAGAGATATCTCTAAATATATTTATGGAGTCAGAACAAAGATTTAAATGCTAAAAAGGCTTGCCATAGAGAGCGCTTCTGAACAGCGCAGCAGCGATGACGTAAGCGTGCCGAGGCCCGATATGGTGTGAGCACGGGCCGTCGGGGGAGACGGGAGGGGGGACAAGCGTGCTTTGGCCCGGTTCGAGGCAACTGTACCTAGTGTGAGTACGGCCTAAGGGTGCTTTCACACCTAGGCTTTTGCTTTGGAACCTGACACATTTCTCCAGTTAGTGCGGTTTGTTTAGTATATATGAATCCACCAATCCTACTCAGCCAAAATCGGTCTGAGACTGCCTGAATAAGGTGATCTTGGCTCGATTGAAACAAACTCTAGACCGGATCAATTGTAGTGAGAAAGCAATATGAACCAACTAACCAGGTTATATCATAGTGTGTTATGTATATGACATATACGGCTATATGAAGAGAGAATGATGATTATGGTGGGATGTCATCATTCCTACCAGTAAAGGTGCATTTCATGTCAAATACAAAAGTGAGAGCATGCTGAACTATTAACGCGAGCTGTTTACCTGTTAGGAAAATTGACCGAACAGCAGTCTTGGTTTATCGGTCATTTCTCTTTAATGTAAAGCCTGTAATGCATAATTTTAGTCAAAGACTATGTATAAGAAAATCTTACCTCTGATTTATATTTAATGACGATGTCTGTGAGTGTCACCATTCAAAATTAAAGTGCAGCTTTTCACTTATGATGCCTTATTGCTCATAGTCATAAATTAAAATAAGGACGGATGACAGCTGAGCCAGACTCTAAAAAATAAATTGAGGAACTCTAACCAATGTGACGAAAGTTTACTTGCATTTGAGATGTTTTAACTGTTTTAGTCCATTTAGACACTTCACTGTGTAAAAGCGAACCGCACCAAGAACAAAAAGCAACATTATAACATTTTAATCCCTGTTTCGGAACAAAACAATCAATCTACGGGTGTGAAAGCACCCTTACAGTATTAGCATTATTAACAATGTTTCATTTAAGTTTCAATGATTTAATTTTGTATTATCCAAGCAGCAACCTCCCGCTCTCCCTCAGGAAGCCAATACTAAAGTAACTAAAACTGTAATTCATCGACTCGCCTTGTGGGGCTGGCTCCAGGAAGTCCAGGTCATTTCTGACTGCAATGGGAAATTGGCCATTTTTACAGCTGATAAAAACATGTTTACAGCCTGGTACAAAAGATGGCTTTGGTGCCTATAGTCATCATGAATCTTCATGACAACTGTGAGGGGGGTGAATATTAAGGGGCGTGGCCACTTGAGTGACAGCTAGGTCTCGCTGCTCGCTGTCTCGTCACCTCAGCTGATTACGGCTAATTAGCCAATAAACTCGACATATAAATGGCATTTTTGTGTTGGTTAATGTTTATTTACACAGTCAATTTCCTTTTGGGAATATTTCCTATAATTATCAGATGATATGGCATGCTGTGTGCACTTAATTGTGCTTACAAACCATTCACGTGGCCTCCATTTCCCTGGTGAGTGAAATTATATACTTATATACCATCTCTATAAATCTATTTGTTTTATTTAAGATCATTTATAATGTTCCTTGGAGCTATAATGCCCTCCAGAATCTGACAGATTGATAAGCTTGAACAGTAATCTGAAACGTTGTACAGTGTTATGCTGGATTTCATCAGTAGTCTTGCATTTACTAACACAGACTATATCTAAAGTTTAGACATATTTCGCGGATTCCTCCAGTAGAAAAACGTCATAAGAACAATGCTTAGTGGCTCTGTGTATTACAGCAGTGTTGTTAAAAGTCTAAACACTTTATTGATGTAGTGACAACCAAGCACATGTGGTCAGAACACAAACGAGTCGCAGGTAATAAAGTATTAAGCGTTTCTCCCATAGTAGAATCTGTCTGCTAAATCCAAGCAAAAGTCCAGCAGGTGTCTGTAGCTCCGCTCACTCTCCGCCTCTTTGCCCTTGTTTGGTATTCTGCCGTGGGTGCGAGGACGCGCAAACAAAATGGCTACCGTTGGCTGCGCCTACTTGTAGCTTTATTTGCGCTCTTTAGAAACCTATGGGGGACCTCACGGAAACTACGTCCTTATATTTTACAGTCTATGGTATTATCCTGTGTTCAAAAAAACTGCATTTATTAATTTCGTTTATAAGCATTTATAAATATCAATACTATTACTTTTGATTATTGCGCCCTAGCTATATTGAAGTACACATTACGTAACATTCACAATCTTATTGTTTACATAATACACTTTTTCAAATTTAAGAAAATATCATTTTAAATTTAATTTCATTGCTATTTACATATATTTCATTCTGCTGTTTTCTAGCAAGTAGCCACACCTCCGTCAACCCTGACTCGTCGTCCTCGAAAACCAGCCCCGCAGACCATCAGAGGCAACGACAGCGATGAGCCAATCAGCATCTCTGAAAGTGAGGAGAGCGGGAATAAGGAGGTGGAGCTGTGTTGCTCCTCCAACAATCAGATCAATGAAGAGATGCAGAGGATGCTCAACCAATTGTAAGCAGTGACACTGAACATCGGAAATTTTAGCAGATGCCATCTAGTGCTGACGAATTCTATACAGCTTTAAGTGACATTTAATGGCACTTAAATAACTAGGTTAACTAGGCAGGTTAGGATAATTAGGCAAGTTATTGTATAATGATAGTTTGCTCTGTAGACTATCGAAAAAAATATCGCTTAAAGAGGCTAATAATTTTGTCTTTAGAATGGTGTTTACAATTTTTAAAAACTGCTTTTATTCTAGCTGAAATAAAACAAATAAGACTATCCAGAAGAAAAAAATATTATCAGACATACTGTGAAAATTTCTTTGCTCTGTTAAACATCATTTGGGAAATATTTAAAAAAGAAAAGAAAATTCAAAGGGGGGCTAATAATTCTGACTTCAACTGTATATATATTGTTCAAATACAGCAATGTTTTCTAGTTGTTTTTAAATATTATTAAATAAACTAGGAAATTACCCATTGAAACTATATTTACCTTCAGCCCACTAGCCTTAAAAAAATTTGGTTTTTGGCCCTTCTTAAGAAAAAGTTTAGATTGGTTTAGATTGATTTAATAATGTTTTCACTTACTTTTGGAGTGCCTTAGACTTATGATTTCATTGTTTAAATAAAAAGCAGCTGTCTACTATACATCATAATGACTGGTTTGTGTGGATATTTTGAAACGTGTTTTTTGTTGTCGTTCCACAGACGGGAGTCTGAATTTGAGGATGACTGTGACAGTCTTGCATGGGAAGAAACCGAGGAAACTCTCTTACTCTGGGAAGATTTTCCTGGATATACCTTCAGTGTCGAGAACCAAGGAGAGGTACGTGCGTTTTAATTTCATATCTACATGGCGGAGCTGAAATGAGATCAATTACACCTAAAACAACAACAACATTTCAGCATCCAGTATGAAATTGAAGTTTATGAGCTGCTGAATGTTTGATTCTGATTGGCTGATAAACATTCCAAGATGTGCGGTTATTTTTTAGATAAACACAAAGCTAAAGCAGATCCGTTACAGTTCCATATCACTACTCTGAATGATGTCAGCAAATTCACTGTAGCTATTTCATTTTGAAATATCTGAACAGTGTCTTCAGGTGTGGTAAGCAGAGTAATATTCATTCATTTTCCTTCAGCTTAGTCCCTTATTTATCAGGGGTCACCACAGTGGAATGAACCGCCAACTATTGCGGCATATGTTTTATGCAATGGATGCCCTTCCAGCTGCAACCCAGTACTGGGAAACAGAGTAATATTTATTTATATGTTCATTCTATAATATTTAAATAGTCACTGACGATAAATGTGAGGGAAAAACGTCCCGGTGGGTATGAGTCTATACATTTCAAGTACATAGAAATAAATAGATAGTCTTTCTCTCTCCCTTATAGAAGAAGAGTTTCATTGCAAAACGAGATAAATCCATTTTGTAAAATGTTGGTTATTTAACACTATTTAAGACATCAACAGGAACACAATATTTTCAAATCCAGGATATGTTTTATTTAATTTTATGTCCATAAGTAGTTAATAAATAAGTCAAAAACCATGCCAAAATGCAACACATTAATCTTAACATTGTCAAACATCTTAAATTGGTTAAAAAAATTATACATCATAAATATATGGAATAGTACATACAAAGATTAATTAATAATTTTTCTATAATTTTTTCTATAAATAAAATTTCTTAACAACCATTAAGAAAAGCTAATGAATCAATGTTTTGTTTGATCAGTAAGATTAAGTTACTTAGATATATGACTTGTAGCTTGTGACAGAAAGAGTGAAGGGCGGCTCCTTTACACCGCTGCTGAAAACCAAACCTGTATGATCAGAGCGGGCGTCTTAATTGACATTAGCGGAAACTACCCTGCTGCATTTGTATATTGTTGACAGATGCAGGGTGTCTGTTGCACCGTGTCCGCGACACAAGCTCACCTCGCCCTGTCATATTTAATGAATTATTTCACTGTAATAATAATAATAATAATAGCTTATTTATTGGTTGTTGTGAAAAAGCAAAGCCGCTTATTTTTCTCCATAACAACCTGTGCCCTTTATGTTCCATTATAATAAATCAACAACAAGAATTAACATGCGGTACAGGTCAATTGGGTAGGCTAAACTGTCAGTAGTGTATGAGTGTGTGTGTGAATGTGTGTGTGGATATTTCCCAGAGATGGGTTGCAGCTGGAAGGGCATCCGCTGCGTAAAAACTTGCTGGATAAGTTGGCGGTTCATTTCGCTGTGGCGACCCCGGATTAATAAAGGGACTAAGCCGACAAGAAAATGAATGAATGATGTATATATATATATAATTTTTTTATTCAAACTGTCTCACACAGCAAGAGGAATCCATAGAGAAGGTGATCAAAGACACAGAATCCCTCTTCAAGTCCCGCGAGAAGGAATATCAAGACACCATTGACCAAATCGAGGTAAAGATTTTATGTTTTGATTAAAAAACACAATAATAATGCTTATTGTCTTAGAAAGTCCATCATTATAATGGTATTTATCAAGCAAGATCAACAAAATAGAGTTATATGCTGATGGTATTCCATAATTCATTAGATGATGCTTCTTCCAAAGAAAGCCAAAGGATTTTACTATAATTATATTTATTTTTTTACCTCTAGTTGGAGTTGGCCACTGCTAAGTCAGATATGAACAGGCATTTGCATGAGTATATGGAGATGTGCAGCATGAAAAGAGGACTGGATGTTCAAATGGAGACCTGTCGACGATTAATCACTCAAAGTGGAGACAGGTATACACACACCTACGAACACATAAACATGACTATTAATGGAGACTAATAATGGAAGTCATGTTGTAGGGTCAGTAGGTCTGTTATATAATCAAATAAATATATTTAAATACAGTGCATTACTTCCTCAAAGTTCTACACACATCATGACAATTTGAAAAAAGACTGTTTTTAAATGTTGCAAATTTATTAAAAATAAAAAACCTGAAAAATCACGTGTACATCAGTATTCACAGCGTTTGCCGTGAAGCTCTAAATTGAGCTCTGTACATTCTGTTTCCACTGATCATTCTTGAGATGTTTCAGCAGCTTAATTGGAGTTCACCTGTGCTAAATTCAGTTGATTGGACATGATTTGAAAAGGCATTCACCTGTCCATATAAGGTCCCAGGGCCTTAATATTTCCTTAGAAAAGTAATAAACAGGACACACTCTAATGTGCATGAAAACAAGAAATTCTGTTAATTCTAACAGCGGTTATTAGTGATGCTAATCCTTGTTACATGTGCAGTTGTAGTCAAAATTATTAGTCCTCTTTCTTTTTCAAATATTTCCCAAAATTTTTAACCGAGCAAGGAATTTTTCATAGTATTTCCAATAATATATATATTTTCTTTTAGAGAAAGTCTTATTTGTTTTATTTTGGCTAGAATAAAAACAGATTTAAATTTTTTTAAAACCATTTTAGGGTCAATACTATTAGCCCCCTTCAGCAATATTTTTTATATGGTCTACAGAACAAACCATTGTTATGCAATGACTTGCCTAGTTACCCTAACTAAACCCAATTAACCTAGTTAAGCCTTTAATTGTCACTAAGCTGAATATTAGTAACTTAAAAAATATCTAGTTAAATATCATTTATTTTAGATAAAAGAAATCAGTTATTGGAAATAAGTTATTAAAACTAATATGATTAGAAATGTACTGAAAAAATATCTCTATTAAATAGAAATTAGGAAAAAAATGTATAGGGGGGCTAATAATTCTGACATCATCTGTTGTTCAATAGTATTCTATAGTAAATTATTATTGACTTCATATTCATGATTCTAATGTTTTATTTCTGAACATTTTCAATTCTCTTACTGCTGTCGTTCATTTCCCCAACAGAAAGTCTCCTCTCCTCGCTCCGGCTGCTGTGGAGGAGGGAGAGAATGCGGAGAAGGAGAGGAAAAGAGCAACTGCGGCAAATTCTGACAGTGCCGAACCCTATTACGACATGCAGGCAAACTCTTCTGTCCCGGACCACACGTGGAAAAAGGCTTAAGCGCTTTAATGTCCCGCCAGCAACACAGTAACAGCTGCAATTATAAGCAAATGACCACTGATCGTTTCTTAATAGAGGCTGTGATGCAGTAAACGGGTTATAGTTACCATCTGAAAGGCAAGTTTCAACCCTGTGTGCTTTCACTAGTGCCCTCTATTGGAACGCAGCATTAATGGTCCTAAAAAAAAAAGCACTATAAAAAGTGGCCTATTAAATTCTGTCTAAATATACGAGGGCTGGTTACACTATTTTAGATTATGTTATTTTATTTATTTATTTGTACGCAGGTAAATACCACTGTTATGTAGTACATTTTGTAATTTGTCAATGAAGAAAGTATTTAAAGTTTTTTTTTTTTAACGTTCTTAAACATATAGTTTGTTAATTATAGCTTTATTATTTTTACAGTTGGCATGAATATTTTGATTATGAGCTGAAGTGAGAGATTTTTAATTGAATTATTTAGCTTTATTTGTTTGTTGTTAAATTTTGATTATGGTAATTACAAACTTTTTTAAACGCCACAATAAAGTAAAATCAATAAAGTACGGAGACCTGGAAGTGATGTGATGGTGGAGAAAAAAATGGGTGGAAGAAAAAATGGGTGGGGAAAAAAACTAGTGATTGGTAAACATATTTTTTAAAGTTTTTGCGTTCCCTCGCAAAACTGTTGTTCGACAAACACTTCACTTCATACATGACAACCCTGTTTTTGCTGGGATTCTATGGTATTTTATGATTATATCCTAATATTAGGTATTTTCTCATATTTCTCTCATATTTTTAAACTTAAAAGCATGTTGAAATGAATATAAAAATGTCTGAATTCACTTTCTTTTTATTAAAGCCGTGTGTCGATCAGCGCCCATCATTTGCAACAGTGACTGACTCCCAGATCAGCTGTACACGTCATTTAAAGAGGAGCTGAAGTGCAGGACAATTTGCGATTCTGGTGTGTGTTTAAACAGACAAATACACCTAATATGTAAACATGCCTGGACGTCCTGCGTGTTTTATTTCAGGGGTTCTCAACTGGTTTGGCCATAGGACCCACATTTTTACATGGTCATCAGGCAGCGACCCAAATTTTTAGGAACTATAATACAATTTTAGAAATTTTTATTAATTTGTATTTATTTGTTAACATACACAAGTAGTGACAGATACATCATAAGAAATTCACCAAGTCTTACAAATAAACAATATTTTATTGCTGTCATTTAACAAAATGTATCAAATTATAGAAATATTACAAAGTAAAAACAACAAATACTGTAAACAGTGGTTAGGGTAAGGAAAGGTTCAGTTACCATGAACTAAACTGAACTGTTAATAAAACATGTTGTCTGGTTTCTAAATGTCGTTTTAATTCAGAAGGTTTCATGCTCTCTTGTGAGGGCACCTCACTACATATGACACACTGAGGCTTTAAGTCTTTTTTGTCATCAAAATATGTAAATCTATGCTTTACATATTCGGGGTCGCACTTGCTCTTCGACATATTTGTTGCTGTAATTAAATAAAATTTCACGTCAAATGGTAGGGTTGTCGTGCACGCATTTCAAAATAAAAGTCCAGTACAAGCAAAATAAGTTAAATTAAACTTTTGTTGTTTTTTTTGACCACACTCTCCACGACCCACTGAAAATGTTCCCACGACCCACTTCTGGGTCGCGACCCACCAGTTGAGAAAAACTGTTTTATTTCAAACACAACTAATTTCCTCTTAAATGAGCACAAACGGTTAAAGTATGCTCTCGTTATACATCAGTGGTAAGTGACACCTCTGTTATCAAACAAAACAAAACTAGAGATTCATTTGCTGCTCTTCACTTGTTTGATAACAGAGGTGTCAATTTAAACGGCGTGTACAGAAGCTGATCTGGGATCAGTTTATTATACAGAGCCCGTCCGTCAGTTAAGGCTTATACATGCATTTACTGATTCAAAGGTTGCATATGATGAGCACTGGTCGACGCACAACTTTACTGGAATGAAAGTGAACTCAGACATTTTTATATTCATTTCAACATGCCTTTAAGATTAAAAATATGAGAGAAATATGAGAAAATAACTAATACTAGGATATAATGGTAAATTATGGGACAATCCAGGCAAAAGCAGAAAGTCGTGTATAAGGTGAAGTGTTTGTCAAACGAGTTTTGCGAGGGAACGCAAAGCATCTTTGCAAGGGAATGCAAAAACTTTCAAAAATATGTTTACCTATCACTCGTTGTTGTTTTTTCTCCCAACCATTTTTTTTCTCCACCATGACGTCACTTCCGGCTCTCCCTTACCAAAATCATTAAAAAAAATAGTTTTTAATAAATAAAAAAGCATTTTAATAGAAAAAAATTAAACAGTGTAAATATATTGGTAACACTTTAAAACTGCACACCTTGAATCATTTATTAAGCGTTTGCAAATAGTTTATTAATTATTATTTATGCATTATTTCTAAAATAATAGATGTGAGTAAGCAGTTTATAAATACAGCTTCCAATGCTGTATTTTTGACTTGTAAGCACACGTATAATGTGCTAAATAACTGTATTGTCATACTTTGTCAAATGATTTTTTCATTACTTAATTAAGTATTGCAGTATTGCTTTTATGCCATGTGCTTTACACTTTTGTGCCTTGAACGGTAATATAGAGCCCTAGGTCACAAAACTGGTAGAAGTTAACAAAGCACTTATTAGCATACAAAGTAACAATTAGTTTGCCAATTTGCCTGAATACAAAGATATATAAACGTCATTTGGAAAAGTTGATTAATCTTTTAATTACTGGTTCTAGAAAGATGTTTAAAAACCACCAACTATTCTGAAATAACTGGTCTGTAAATAATGCAATACTTTATTTAGTAATGAAAAATTAACCATAAAAAGAATGAAAACACAATCAATAAGCACAATATACATGTGTTTATAAGTCAAAAATGCAGCATTTGTAGCTGTATTTATAAACTGCTTACTGACACCTATTAATGTAGAGTTAATGCTTAACTAATTATTAACCACTTGCTAATGCTTAAACAATGATTCAGCGTGCAGTTATTATAAAGTGTTACCAATATATCATATCATATATCACCTCATCACTAAACAAAAGGCACATTTGACAGTAATATTTTAGTCTAAAGTGTTTTTACCACAACAGTATGCTTTTTTAATGCTGGATACTCAAATAAGAGTTATTAATCGCTGAACTTCAGTTTCCAAAACAATAATAACAATCAAAACATTTAGTTTGAAGCATTTTACTAGAGAAATTTAAATAAAATGTTGGTTTAGAGGTTATTTATTTCCAATGACTAAAATAGATTTTAACATAAAAAAAATGTTTATTATTAATTTGGGAATAACTCACCCCATTATTAAAGACAAGGCACTTCTGACAATAATATTTTAGTCAAAAATGTTTTCAGTCACTCAGAAAAATAAGATTTTTTTTAACCTTGGAGACTACTAGTACTATTCTAGTACTATTCTACTACTACTAATAATAAGAGCAAGTTATTAATCTCTGCACAAGCACTTAGCAGTTTATATATCGGCTCCCAGTAATGCCAAAACAACATGATAAATAATATTTCAGCTCTGAGTGGAGATCATTTGGGGATGTGAGTTTAGCGCTGCACTATTTGGCCTGAAGTGCACACCGAGATGTGTAGGCGGCTGCTTTCATTCGTTTGTTGTAAATCTGTGAGTTTTGTGCTGTGGGTGAAAGCCAGATGACTAATCTTTGGCCTTGCTGTTTGATTGTGTTTTAATCTTTAGCATCGTGTCATTGTGACGCCCTCGCGAACGCTTTAGCCTCTGCGAATGTTTTTAGCCATTTAGCTGCATTAGCGTTAGTCAGATTCATTTGATTCATGGAGTTATGAAACACGGAGGTCATTTTTAAATTGCAGCTGTTTTTCTTTTTAAAAAAATGCCAAGTGAATTTAGTGTAAATATTCTAAACAAACTGGTTAGTTAGGTCAAAAATGTCAATACGCAGTGTGTCATTATGCACTTACGCATAAGTGATAACTGAGCATGTTACTGTAAGTGCTGCTGAGGGCGTTGTATTCCACATTATGCTCAACTTCTCCAAAGCTGTTTTATCTATTTATTTGTTTATTTATTTATTGTTTGTTTGTCTTTTAAATTATTTCTTTGAATACTTTCAATATTCAAAACTTTAGCCAAAACAACTCAAGACTTTTAAGTTCAGAACTGGGAGTGCCGTTAATTGAAGCTCAATATAAGTGTAATTCCGTATAAATCGAAGCAATAAACTGGACTTACTAAATCAAGGATTTTCACACTGATTTTAACACTGGGTGAGTGTTGATGAAATCATACGTTTGACCTAGTAATGGACTGTGTAACACTTGAAAGCTATGATAACTGAAAAAAACAATAATATATGCAAGTCTTCCGCCACACTAGATTGATCAAAGTCAATTTGGGAAAACTGAAGATCAATTTAAATAAACTTCGGCAGATGATTGACATAACAAATCTAAGTTAAAAATATATATATATTCAATTGTAAAAAAAAAAAAAAAAAAAGGTTTTACCATTTCTCTAAATATATAAGGCTTGGCAGTTTTTGGCATCTTGGAAAACTCATTCACAAAAATCACAGACTTTCAGATCAGCAGATTTTTAGCCCATCGAGTCTATTTATTTACTTGTGTAAATGTGTGTTAATTTATATTTATCCAATTTTTTTATTAATTTCAATAAAATTGTTTGTCATTTAAAACTATTAATACTAAAATGTTCACACGATTCTTTGACATTACAGTTTATATTTTTTAGTAGATTTATTATATGAGAGACTTGCTTTGTTTAGCAATTAAGTGAATCAAATTGGATTTGCATTGTTAACATTAAATAAAAGTTAAAAAGGTATTGTTTTTTATTTCATATCTTAAGTTTTTATATATGATACTCCTAAAATGATTTCACATAAATTCACAGATTTTTTCTTCTTCAAAATTCTCAGCAGAGATAGCAAAAAATGGCCACAGATTCTGTCAGGCCCTAGATCCGACTCAGTTAACACTAACCCAGAGTTAACTCTTACAAGTGTGAAAAGCCCTCGTATAATATCAGAAATTCACAGCTAACAGCTTAATCTTCATAAATCTAATTATGATCCAGTGTGCTGGCTACTGATGCTTTATTCTGTAGATATCTTTGTTTATCTTATATTGTCTTTCACTGAAACTATCTCTGCTCATTATAGGCAAAAAGCAAACTGTAAGGGAAATTTTGTGTTTCAAGGTGCCTGAGAGATTATCGAAAGCCTAATTTTAGAAGTGTTCTATCAGGTTTTAAAAAGCCTGTTGTATTTATACTTGAAGACACTTGTTGAAGCGTTTACTGGCATACATCTGCTTCCATAATCACGATGATAATAATGCTTTAAACTTATAAACCTCATTGGCAGCAACATGTAATAGTTGTAGATATGTCCCTGTACATGTAAATTATGGAAACAATAGAGCTTCTTCTGTAATAAGTCAGTCATAGCCTAGTAAATTACCATGCCAACTCATGCAGCAGTGTACCTTTTTTTTAACATGAATGTAGGCTAAGTGAGTTTATATGAACTGCATTGCACAGAACAATGAGATATTGTGATATTATGATTTAGAGCACCTAAAAATCAAGGTTCTACAATGGGGTTTTAACAGTGATTGGATATTTTGTTTAGTGGGAAGAGTATTTTTACGCTGTAAGGATTCTTTTGTGGACTGTAAAGGTTTTGTGGATGTTAAAGATTCTTCATGGAAGCATCAATGCTGATAAAGAACCTTCATTTTTAAGAGTGAAGATCATGAACTCACATGCTGACATGTCAATTTGTAATATGATGTTAAATGAAGTAGCTCATATAAAAGTTGAGGAATGTATCTTAAAAGATCGTTTTGAAAGTATGTTAATGAAGGGATGTGTGTTACCCAAAAGATAATAGATTGTTAGTTCTGTGAGGTGACATTAGAAAAGGGCTTTTAAACGGTACAGATG